TAAATAAATTAATTATAGAGGGAATTTCGATCCTGATGAAATTAACAAATCTTCACTGCATTGACCTTTGTCCCTAAGGACCATGACCTTTTCTACATCAGTTAATATTTCCTGGCTTTGTTTATGTTGTTGTTGTTTGGTTTTTTTTTGCTTTCTCATATTAGACTGCCTCAGCTGTTTTGTTCCCTTCCCATTCCAACTCAGATTTTCAAGATGGTTAAGAAAACTTTAACTGTATTCCCCTGTGCCTTCTCAGTCTTTTATTTCCCCATTTTATGTATGATAATCTAAGTAAATGCTTCTTTATAAGGACATGATAAGTTGAGTATAAAAATTATGCAGGAAAAATTGACTGAAGACCAGGTTGTTGAAGGTCAGTTGGGCTCCTGAGTAGATAGAACTGAGAAATGTTTCACTGTCTTGCTGAAAGAGTTCCTGCTCTTCAGAACCTTCGTTTGCATATCCAAGGAGGATCAAAGTTGTTATTTCCTCTGCTGAATGCTTTTGCTTCCTAAGCTTCAGATGAGGTGCTTCTTTGGCTCAAAGAGAGTGTATTGAAGGGGGAACCTGTAGACACTTGTTTCTTTTGTTACTTTGTAAGTTTTTAATCTTTTCTAATGTAAGCTATGTCTTTGCTATACTTTGATCAACTGAGAAACCTTCCAAAGAAAAGCAGTGTTTTTGAATTCCTATTCTAAACGTTCTGAATTAAAACACTTTTTTTCCAATTCTGTGATTATTTATTTATTTCGGTATCAGGCATCGAACTCAGGACCTTGCGCTTTCGAGGCAGGTGGTGGAACCATATGATTATTTATTAATATCCCTTACTACCTTGAAAGAGCAAATGACACTAGTTATGATTGGTATTCTAGAAAGAATTCCCTATACAATTAGTTATAATTTATTGGTATAATGTCGGATAGTAACAATTTTAGTGTATGGGAGGTTTTACCACCTGGAGCTCACATTTAGGCAGAAATTATCAGTGGTATAGATTCTGCGAATTGGAAGTCTGATATAATATTCATTAAAATCACCATGGGTTAAGAAAAGGAAAGTGGGTACAATTCAAGTGGCTTTCCTACTCCAGCTTGCTGACATCCCGAAATGTGGGCATTCTCATTTTGTATCATGGCCGAGTACTGTAGGGCCAAGCAAACGCAGAACAAGAAAAGGGGTAGATGGGAGGGAGGGGAGAGATTTTAAAAATTCTATTCAGATCACTAAGCACTTACTGTCATCTTATATGTATGAAAGAAAAAACATTCTCCATATAGACAGCTAACTTAGGTGGAGATATCATAGGCCATCAGGTAGGGCTAGGTCGTCCGGAGAGTCAGGACGAAGGTAAAACACATCACATCTGTGCCAGAGACACATCTTTTTGAGACCACGCCTCAAGATAAAGATGAAATGACCAGGCCTGAACACTTCCCCGGAGGACAAGAAGTGGTAACACCTGGCCTAATGAAGTTAGGCAGACACCAGTCACGCGGGGTGACCAAGACTTCTGGACCCATTATTTTCTAGAGAGAGTCTTTTTTTCCCTCGTACTCGGCATCGAATTCTGGGTCTTGCATTTAAGGGGCAGGTGCAGTGCCACTGAGTTAAATCCCCAGCCCTAGAAATAGTCTTTGTTCTTTCAATGCACGTTTGTTATGTGTGACTTGTTTCCTCATTGAATCACTGTTACCTAAATCACTATACTTGTAACCTTACTGGCTAGTAAGAGTTGTAATGCATGTTGTACCATGTGGGTTTTGGTCTATAAAACTTCCCTATAAAGTGGAATTTCTAGTTACCCATCTGGGTCCCTTCCTGCCTCTCAAGAGCTATCCTCTCAGTAAATATTTTCCTGTTTTTAACCTCCATTGTTCCTAGAATTCATTCTTCAGTTTTAGAGAACAGGAACTCAGAGTAGCAGACATCTAACAGGTTGGGGGATGTAATGTTGTCATATTTCATTTTCTATATCAAAAGCACACTTATGAAAGCATAGAAAAGAAGACTTCATTCAAGGTGGAACAGACCTAATGCAGTTAATAGATGGTTTACTCTGGTGGAATTCTGCAGTGGAGGAGAGATTTAGCTGTAGAACTGGCACGTAGGAAATTATAGCCAAGAAGCAAGATGTGGGTGGGTCAGTGGATAGAAAATCATTAAAAGGAAACATTATGGATGTGTTAGTTACTTTTCTCATTGCTAAGACGAAATCCCAGCCACCCAGACTTAAAAGAGGAAAAGGTTTATTTGGCTCATAGTTTGAAGAGGTTTCAATCCATCATCAGCTGGCTCCAAAGCAGAGATGGCAGAGAGGGATCACAGAGGAGAAACCGTGGTGGACAGAAGGTAGCAAAGCAACAAGGACGACCACAGCTCTCTCTGTCCCTTACATCTCATCCAGGATGCTTAGCACTCACACCCTTAATCCTGGTGCCCTTGAGCCTAGGGTTGAACCATGAATCAGTTCCAGTATCACTCAGTCTAGATCCAGCCACCCCTGAAAAAGCTTCCCCTGTGACTACGTGAGGTTTTGGGGTGCATCTAGGCACATGCCATAACACAGATAAAGGGGGTTTCTGGTTAAACTTTTCTGACAGAATTCTTGCTGAAGACAAGCTAGGATGATCAGACATTGTCTGGGATGGCAGAAAATAAGGAACCTGAGCAGGTATTTCGGAGGATCAGAAGAGTGCTTGATAAACTGATTTAATGGCATTCTCACTGAAACTGGATTTTACAACAGAGTGCACAGATGGGCCTAAGAGAAAGTTCAGCACCCTGACTGAAGTCTGATCAAGCGTGGAATCTGTATGGCATAGACTGACAGGAACGCCCCACTGTCTGGCTGTGCTGTGGGCTGGGGAGGAGGAAAGGATGAGAGAATTCCACTCATGGCCTGATCCCTGCTGAGTTAAGGATCTCTGCCTCTGCCCTAGTGTTCATTGACAAAGGACACTGTGTGATTTTGGCTTACTTTCCCATTTACTGTTGGTCAACACCTAGCAATAGATGTTCTGAAGGCTTGTTTTCCAACCACTGATCTCTACCATTTTAGGCTTTCATTGTTTTGGGATGTGACATTTTAGGAGTAAATTGCTCGGTGCCTTTCACTTAACTTTTTGAGGAAATGGACTTTTTCTCCAAGAATTTCCAGTCCACAGGATACTTTATTAATATAACTTACTGAAATAACCAGTGTAGCAAATGTTCAGTGAAACAGTATATGGGAAATTCCTTTAAGTTTAGCATTGAAAAAAATCCTAAACTGTAGTTTGTTGTTCTATAAAAAGGAAAACCACTGCTAATTTTTCCGCCATGTTAAGACAAACCAGCAAGAGACAGGACTTGAGAAAGGAGGCTTCCCAAAGCAGAGTACCCAGGAACCCTTCTCTCGTGAAGATGGTTTGTGCTTCCTCCCCACACCTACTCTGCCCACTCTGCCACTCGTTCTCTGCCCTCCTGCTGCCCGTTCTCTTCTGTCTTACAAAGGAAAAGCAGAAATAAGCAGGCTTGTTCTTGGTTCATCGGCCCTGCAAATGAGTCCCAGTGGAGATAAAGGAGAAAGAAAGCCGCTTAGCAGTGCTTTACCTTTTTGGGATCACAGACCTTGTGCCACAGAACATCAGATCCAAGGACCTGGCTTCAGAAGAATGCACTGACACGGACCTCCACGAGGCTTCATGCACAACCGCAGGACTCCCTCGATGCCCCTTCTGGGATGGCAGCCCTGTTCCTGTGCTGTGAGAGCCGCCCACGTCCCTGGCCTTCCTCCTTGGCAAGCTCCCTGTTGGGGTCCAAGAGAGAAGAAAAGGAGGTTACCTTGAGGATGAGTTCAGGCCAGTGCTTGTTAGTCGCTGACTCTGTTTTTTAAAACTTGAATAGTCAGATTTGAGCCTGGGTCACTTCCAGAGTTTTTTTTTTTAAATGAACCGGCATAAGGAAAAGGGAAATGGAAAAGAAGCAAGACTGACCCAGCTACAAATCGCTTGTTACAGAGGTACCCTGTGCATTTGTAAGCAGGCCTCAGAGTGGGTGTATCTGTGAGGAGACTGCCCTGTGAGGCTTTCATTTGTGCTTTCAGGACATTCCCCTATGTGGGGAGACCTCATTCACATGCAGATCTGAAGAGCTGCTGGGGAGAAATCTTTTGGGAAGAAAATGGGTTAAAGGAAAAAATGGGAAAGGGGGAGGGAAAATAAAGGCTATGGTGGAAAATGCCTCCTGGATTATGTGGTTTGATTCAGCTTCCCTCTCCAGTCTGCGCTTTAGAAGTAGAAATTTGCATGGAGGAGAACCTGACTTACTTTGTGTTTTCAGCTGGGAAAACATAAAGCATCTCTTGCTCCCTTTCCGTTGTCTTTATGAGCACCACTGGTACTGTCTTCCACATGCCTGGACGCCCCTTTCGTGTGGTGAGAAGTGGACAGTCTTGTAACCCAGTTGCTTCTAAGGGCCACACGCAGATGAGAAAGTTCTTCATTCATTGTACGTGGGTGAGCTCTGGCCCACCACTGATGCTCCCTAACTTTGTAGAGTTTCTAAAACTACCTGTCCTTATGTAGCCTTAGCACTCGAGATATTTTGTGGGTAGAAGACGTTGTGCTCCTCAAATTACATTATGTGGGTAAATGCCAGCTCTTGCTTTCTTTAACATTAACCCTGTGACCTGTGTAACTATATAGTTGTCAGAGTGAATAGCTTATTTATGGGAAATAGTAACATTTATAGCTAACAAGGCTAGGTCCTTTTCTATCATCTCTACTTTCCTGTACAGCTGTTACTGTCCCCCAGAGTGAGAAAAATTGATGTGCAGAAAAACAATCCTGGGTTGCAGGTAGCAGCTCTGAGGGTTGGAAATCAGTGCGCTGGGTGGATCTAAGTCTGCGTTCCCAGTTTGGTGCTGAGCTTGGGAGCCTCAGTACATTCATGTGGAAGGGGGAATATGCAGTTGACTCTTGCACTTACCTGTTTTTGTTTTTCCTTTCCTGTTGCAGATCTTTGATAGCAAGCAGCGATAAGAATTGCCTGCTTTCCATGAGGCCATTTTTTAAAAGGGCCATTTTGGTTATAAGTTATGTAAGTATATGTGTTCTTCTTCAATACCTAATAAGTAATCAGAGACATCATTCAGGTTATTTAATAGAATCAACCATAGATTCTAGCAACTGATCTTGATGTCTAAGAATTTACAGGCCATAAGTGTTGCAAAACATTGGAAGGTATATGTGAAAGCATCCTAGGTATCTGTGAACCTACACACACACACACACACCACACACACACACACACACACACACACACACACACACACACTACGGTATCTGTGTACCTACACACACACACACACACCCCCACACAACACACACACACACACACACACACACACACACACTCACACTATTTAACAAGTCCCTTTCACGGTACTAAGGCTGAGCTGTCTCTAGAGGTAGCAGTACAGCTTGGCTGTATCATTTTTTATTGTATTGTTGTATAACAGATGATCCCAAACTTGGTGAGATAAATGTAATGTCCATATATTCATCCTAAATGCTTTAATTTGGGCAGTCTGAAGTGGGGTTATGCTTCGGATAATCCTGATCTTTGGCAGAAGTTACTCAGGCAAGGTTTTCTCACCTACCTAAAGAGAGGATCAGTACATGCTCTCCTTTGTGGTGTGTCCTCCTCTTGGGCCTTTCCCGATGGTCCTCTTTGTAGTATAGGGCTTCCCTACAGTGGGAAGTAGGTTCTAAAAGAAGGAACCAAGGCTTTCCAGTGTCAGACCTAGAGTTACAAAGTACATCTTCTCCCACATTCCCTTGGTAATTGTGTGTTACAAGGCCAAGTCAGATTGGAGGGGATTTGACTATTTCTTGGTAGTAGGAGAGGAATGTACGTGTGGAGGAGAAGAGATTGCTGGTGGCTGTCTTACCAAATCTTCCTCTTCTCTTAAGGTCATTGTCATTTTGTACTTCCGTCTGTGGATAATGGGAGGATCTATGCCCCTCTTTTCAGAGCAGGATAATCCAGCTTCATTTTCGCCTTATATTCTTACAAGGTCAGTAGAAATAATTTTTTAAAATTCTGCTGGGTATTTGTTAGTTTTAAATAATATAGGTCTTTGGGTAAGAAGGAAACTACTGTCATGCATTTGGAATTATTTTCGATGCATATAGATATGTTGGCAGTGTTATTGTTGCTGTTCTCATTGGTATATGTGTGTTTATTCAACACATATTTTATTGGACACTTATTACCGATAATGTATTGAGTTGCTTACACAGCAAATGCTGGCGAACAAAGTGCAGAGAAGTGAATCGAAGTGGACTGGACATCACAACCTTTGTAAGGCTGAAATCAGTGGGAGGTTCTAAGGAGCAAACAGATGAACCACAGTTTTGGGTAGGAGATGAATAATCGTATGTTGTCATTTGTCCATAAGGACTGTGGAGACATAAGTCAGGGAGCGACTGCGATCAGGGTCTCCAGTTCACGGAGATGTTTCCTTTGCCACCTGGGCCATCTGGTGTGATGTTCTGCTGAGGCTTGTGGATGTAACTATATCTGACAATTTTCATAGCTTTTTGCGGAACACATTGCCACTATAATGTTTTAAACATTCAGATGTGCGTTTCTTATATTTTCATAGTTATAAATACCTTTGAACATTATCTAATACCATTTTGATGATAGTAAGCTTCCCTTTTTGTATTTGAAAGAAATAATAAACCTTAAACTTTGATGTTAGTCCATTTATGTTTTGGCTTATTTGTGCCTCTTGGAATAACAGGTTTTTCTCTTGTTTATATGCCAGGTAACAGTCTGTCCTTTATAGCACTCATTTGCCTTATAGGTTTTAACTGGTAAATGTCTACTGTTTTCTTTGACTTATATGCTGTTCTTTATTTCTAGTTTTTTTCTTATTATTTATTTTTGATGTTGAAGATTGAACTCACGGCCTCTCACATGCTAGGCCATGCTCTGCCCCTGAGCTGTATCCCTGTTCTCCTTTTCATTTAGACTCTATGTTCCATTTAAAAGGGTGCCGTCCAACTTTATTGATGCATTTATATAGTATTACATTTTTTTTAACTTTCAACATATATTAACTATATCTTGAATATTCATCCAGAAATCATTTGGTATCTAATCTCTACTGCTGACTTACCTCTTAGGCAGTTTAAAATCTTTACACATATTTGTTACAGTCTTGCATTTTTCAAAGTGTTCAGTTATTCTTTAAACTTTGCCTCTCTAGTTTTCTTTTTGCTATGTTGCAAGCCCCTTGTCCTTTTAAGACACCTTTCACTGCCTTTCAAAATCTCCAGGTATTTTTAGCTCTGATAACTCATTCATACATTGTTTCAGATTCTCTAGCTCTCTAAATAGCTACTTTCTGCCTCTAAGTGAAAATGAGCTTTGCCAGCTCCTGTTCTGGCCCCACGGCCCACTTCTTTTAGCTCTGGGTTGGTTTCCTTTCAGGCTTTCGCTGAATGGCCCAGGCTGACCTCACTTGAAGTGCTCTGAGATGCCCCTGCCTTAGCCTCTAGAGTAGCTGAGATTATTTGTGTGTGCTTGTTTCAATATTTTAAAAATTATGTTTTGATATGGTTTGTTAACAGCATTTTGGAAGCCATATAGAATTTGACTTATTATTCTTAACCATTGGTTATATCAAGCCACAAGGTCAATCATGAAAATCATTAATCTTTTACTTTTCCATTTTAACCTAAATACTTAGATTGTATTAGCTGTCAGTTGATCCTTCATGATGGATCAATAACTTTCCCATATATCATTAAATGAGATTGGGTGGCTCAATTGAGTAACACGACACTGAATTGTAAATGAAGCTGCTTTCCACTGTAAAAAGAACAGTGCAGAAGCCAAAGAATAGAGGAGATAGTATTTTGATTTTACAACATTCACTGCCTCTTGCCAAGCGAGTCCCCCGAGGCCTATTGTCCATCCAACGGTGCGGGACAAATGATCCGGCAGTCATGACTTTTCATTTCATTCCTTACACCCAAGGAGTCCCATGATATTGAATTTCTTATTTCTAGGTCATGTTCACTTGTAGCCTTCTGTCCTCATCTCCAAGAAGGCTCTCGTGGTCTCCCTCCTGTGTTACTGGAATGGCTTCCTAACTTGGCTCCCTCCCCACATTTGCTCTCCTCAGATCCATCCACCCCATTCCTAGGTGGTATTTCTAATACTCTTAATATTTAGAAAGTGGGTGGTTCCCTGTTCCCAGGGATCTGGCCACTGCTGCTTCCTTTGTGTCCATCTCCTCACCATTTACTGCCCTCCTTCTAATCTTATACCTTAGCCAGGGTCACTGTTTCAGGTCCTTTGTACTGTACAGCCCTGTTTCTGTGGCTTTCCAATCCTACAGTACCAATTCCTTTATGATTTGGTTGCTGGGTCTTCTATAAGACCTTGCTGGCTTCTTATTCATCCTTGAGAATATATTTTTCTTCTATTAAACTTTATTGTTACAGACTATTTCCCAGTTTTTTTTCTCATGATGTTATGCATTTTTCAAGGGCAGAGACCATATCTAAATAACTTTGTATCTCTGGTTAGTTTTACAGGTTACGCTGTCCATATGCAAGGGAGAGCTACAGTTATAGTTTATTGTATGGTGGGTAAATGAAGAGTGGACTCCTCTCTGATACATGTGCTGCTTCTGTGGATATAACATCCGCCTTTACTTTTCTGTTTTTGAAGTAATTCACACTACCCTCTCTGCATCTATCATTGTTTTGCTTTTTGTCATTAAGACATTATTCAACTGAGCATGCCTGTATGTACTTCAGCCAACCATGGAGTAAAACCTTTGAAACTATGAGCCAAATAAATCTTCAGATGGCTCCATGCACAAACATCATGGCAGAGGGGCATGATAAAGGAAAGCCGTTTACCTCGTGGCAGCCTGAAATACAGAGAGCAAGAAAGCCGGAACAATAAATAGATACGTCCTTCAAAGGTGTGCCCCTAGTGAATTTTTTTCTCCAACTGGGCCCCACCTTCTAGTAGTACCTTCAGCTGTTAACTCATCAAGGCATCTTTGTGCTCTGCCTTTGTTCTCAATTCTTACAATATAACTGGCTAAAAGCAGTCAGCAGTATCCATGCCACTACCTGAATATTATGCTGACTTAAAATTTCCTCCGCCAGTTTAGTCCACCACCTTTATGTTCAGCCTCCCCTAAAATCTTAGGACAAATGCAGATAGTTTCTTTGCCAGAATGTAACATAAATGGCCTCTAGTCCAGTGCCCAATAGAGTATTTATTCTCATTTGAGACCTCTTGAACCTAGCCTTTACTGTCCTCATTCATATCAGTGTTCTGGTTTTCTGAGCACTAACCAGGACATTCATCAGACTCTGCTTTATAGCATTCTAGGGCTCCTCTATCCTGCATCTCCTAACCTTTCCAAACTTTTCCAGCAAACCACTTCTAAAGGCTCTTCAACTATAAAGTCAGGTATAGTCACAGCAACAGCCTAACTTCTCAGTTGTAATTTTCTGAATTAGTTATCTTTTTGCCACTGAAACCAAATACTTGACATGTACAACTTAAAAGAGGAGAAGAGAAGTTTATTTAAGTTCATAGTTTGAGAGGTGTCAGTGCAAGGCACACGGCAGAGGAAAGGTGTGCAACTCATAGAAGCGGAGAGAGCCCGAGAATGCCAGTACAATATGCATACCCTATAGAGGCACATTCCCAATGACCCACCTCCTCCAATTTGACCCCATTTCCTAATAGGACATTCAGTTATGGATTAATCCACTAAATCCACTGATGAGGATAGTACTCCCATGATCCAGTCACTACCTGAAAGTCCTACCTCTGAACACATGAGACCACTGGGGGACATTTTAGATTCACACTGTAACATTCTCTTTCCTCTTTTGTTCTTCCCTTTCTGTTCCTTCTCAAGCAAATTTCTAATATAGCCCCAGGCTATAGAGGCTATTCCAGACTAAATTATCTCTGAAAGCATTCACGCAGTCTAACCGTGGTGACACTAGGCTGTACTGAGGTAGTAGCAAACTGAATTTAGTGGAAATGGCTTAGCATAGAAGGATTAATTTTGCTTATGAGAAGATGGCTGTGGGTCTTGCCGTATTCCAGATTACTGTCCAGCCATATGAAATGGCCAAGCCAGTGTTGCAGAGGAAGAGGAAGTTTGAGGGTCCACACTTTTTACATTGAAACTTCACATTACGTGTTATGAAAGTAAGGGGAATAAAACTGTTTCCTGCTTTGTTCCTCTTCCTTGGTTTCAGTGTCTATCAACTTCATCCGGTCTTCCTTCATCAACCCTACTCACTTGCAACCTTTCTCATTTTCCCTGACCCAGCACTGAATGGTTTTGAAAGCAGTCCAAGATATAAGATCAATTCGATCAGCACTATTTTGTCTTTCAAAGAAACATAACCACAATATTTCTGTGATACCTAAAAATTGCCCTAGTTCCCTATTGTCATCAAGTATTGATTTGGCCACCATTCGTGTCAGCTTTAAGAGACCCATGTCACTTCTGTCTAGACCTGCAGGCCAGGAAGCTGTCTGCCCCACCAGGCTGCGAGTGGGCTGCGAAGTGGGCTGAGGAATGTGGTCTCCCATGCCCTGGAGAAAATTAAACAGACCTAAGGCATTCAAAGCTCTATGTTGACATGGCCTGTGATGGTGTTTACTTTTAAAATAAAAAACAACCAAAAAAGAAAAAACTACTCAAATTTTCTCCCTGAGAGAAATTCCAGGTTTGGCTTTTTCAGAAATACATTTTTCTCCCCCTGCATTTACTATCAATAAGGATCCTCAAGCCTGTTTCATGAACCACCGGAACATAACCTGTCAGCTTCCTGGAGTCCTCACAGATAATCATTGTGTTTACCTACAACATGAATTTCTGAGGCCAAGACCAACCCATTCCTCAGGGCTCGGACAATTGACGCCTCTTTTAGGAAGCTCTCTGTGACAGAGTAGCTTGATGGCTTCCCCCTCCTGCCTCGGCACTTGTCATTTATGCCTTCAGGAGAAATTCTT